TGTTCACATTCCTCCATACGGACAGTCCATATCATAAACGATAGCATTATATAGGAAACAACAACAACAACCAAACTGGCCATCGGTTTCATCATTGATAACCAGCTCCTGGAGTTGCTTTGTCTACCACCACCAACTCCTCGACCGCCAATAGTAGTAGCCATTAGTAAACCGTTACCGTTAGTGGTGGTGATGGCCATCATAACAGCCATCATCGACATCATCTTCATCGACAACATTGTTGTTCAACAGATAATTTTATTTTTATTTTTTTTTTATAAGTTAAAGTCCTATAATAATAATAATGTTATATAATATATATATATATATAATTTATATACAGTATATATTGTATATAATTTAGTAATAATTAATGATTAATATTAAAAAAATTTTAATAATAAAAAAAATACTTAACCTTTTAGTTTAACTATTTAACTAACTAACAAACAAAAAAGTATTAAATTTTTTTTAGAGTTTTTTTTAGAAAAATAATATAATTATTATTAAATTATTAATATTACTTCTATATTACTAATATATGACGTAATTCCTATAAATTCCCAATAAATTCCAAATAAATTCCCAATAAGCTCCCTATAAATTCCCATAAATTACCAATAAATTTCTAATAAATTAATTAAACTCTATTTAATGTGTTTAGTTATTACTTAATATAATTGTGAATCATTTTTATATATTTGTTATAAACTATTTTATTATTTAATATACAATTAAAACTTTATTTTATTTTATTGAAATATTTTAAAAATAATTATTGTTTTATTTTAAAATTAATAAAAATACGTGACAATATTATATTTTCATATATATTATAGTTTATCAAATATTCGGCCGCCATAAAGCTAACGGTATTTAAATAAATAAATATAAAATAATAATTAAATTTTATCTAAAATATATCATTTTTTTTGTATACATAAATAGGCTATCATTTAGTTTGCGATTCTTGTAAATCATTTTGTTTTCAATCATTAATGTCTTGAAATATCAGGTATTTTCATATATTTTTTTTGAAAATTAAATAATTAATTATTTTATTTATAAAATAAAATAATTTATAAATATATTATAATTATTAGTAAAATATAAATAATGTTATTTTCTATTATTGAAAAAAATCAGATACAAACAGATTCATTACATGTTAAACAAAAACAATTTGAATAAAATATTTATTTTTTATTTATATAATTTTTTTTATATATAGATTTTATCGAAACATTTTGCATATATTTATTTTGTAAAAAAAATATTTGCAAATAAAATTTTATCACAACTTTTGCTGAAATTTACAGCATTTAAATCAATAAATAATAATTTTACAAAATTGAAACTTTTTAAATGTTATATTGTATTTCCCATCACTACTATTGTGATAATACACACATAGATAATAGATATTTAAAAAAATAAATTATAAATAAGTTAATACTAAATAATAATTAGTTAATAATTATAATAATAAATATCCAACTAATTAATTAATTTAAATAGAAAATAAAAATTCACTATTGATTACATATAATGTTATTTTTGTTTTGTTTTTGAAAAATAAATTTATTAAATAATATTATTATATTATTATTATTATTATTAATAAATAATATTATACTCTAATTATTAGAGTCTAATATATAAGTTATTAGTAGTAGTTATAAGTATTATATAAGTTATATATATATATATATATATATATATACAGTATATATTATTAAGTTAACCTAACTATTATTAACTATTATTAACTTTTATTAAGTTAAACTAACTAATGTACTAGTACATATATATATATATATATATATATATATATATATATATATATATATATATATTATTATAGTGTAGTACAGTATATAATTATTACCACAAAAAAATCACAATTAATTTTTTGTTTGTTATAACAAAAAAATAAAAAATAAAATATTTTTATATGTTTGATGATAATCCTCGTGTAGGCGATCGGGAACGGGATCTTTTGCGTGTCGTTCCCGATGACGACGACATACGGACAATATTGATATTATATGTTTCAATCTCATCGTTGTCGTTGTCATCGGCAATAATATCACTGAAATTATGTCGACTAATATCCAGTAGACTATAGGTATCGTCAACACTACCTAAGCTACCGAAATAGTCGTATCGATGATTCATATATAGTATAACCGATAGGACAGCTGTCAATAGGATGGCCAACAATAGACCGACTAAAATATTTATGTTAACTATCAATGAAAACGATTTGATTGGTTCGATGCGATAGTGTAGCACTGGGAGGACAGTTAGCCCAGTGTAGATAAATAATATAATTAATTTGCGGCTAATTTGTTGTTGTTTGCCAACTAGTATTGCATTTAACAATTGTTTTATACTATAGAAACCTATAATAAAATAAAATAATAATAATTATTATTATCATGCATAAAAATGTAATTAATTAAAAAAAATAAAAAATTATTATACCTAGCATAATTATGGGAAAATTAATTATGAATGTAATTTATATTGTACTTAATAGATATCTACGATACAGATAACTGGGTTCATAGTAGTCGACTGGTCGGACAATATTATCTAAATAGTGGACAGTATGTACTATAGTACTGGCCGTATAAATGGCAATCAATGTATTTAGTAGGACTGTATGGCCGATAGCCAGTCGGGCCAGTTTAGTATCCGACCAAACAAACCAAAATTGGCGCCACTCTCTAAATTTGACTACAAGTGCCCAGAAAAATATGATAACTATGAATAGTATGCGTGCGGCCGATATATCGGCCAGATTTTCGTTGACCACAATCGGTTTGCCGTATTTTGATTGGCCAAAAATAGCCATATTTTTATTTTTTTAGTTAAAATAGTTTATTATATATATTTTTAATTAATTATTATTATCAAAATAACTTTAAACATTAGAAATAATTAATTTGAATATTTAAATAATAATAATATTTACATATTATTATTATTATATTAATTAGAAAAAAATAATTATTATATTTATCTTATAAATTATCAATTGAACAAAAAAATATATTATTATTTATTATTATTATTATTTATTATTATTATTATTATTTATTATTATTATTATTTATTTATTATTATTATTATTATTTATTATTATTATTATTATTATTATTTTTTATTATTATTATTATTTAAAATAATAAATTATTATCATTATTTATATACAGTATATCAATTGAATTTTGATGATTGACTTTTATAACACTCTATATATAATTAGTTAAAATTATTATTATTATTACAGTATTACTAATATAACTAATATTTGACTATTAGTTTTAGTTTTTAAAAAATAAAAATAAAATATTACTTGTAATTGATTGTCACTCTATGTGTTTAATGATTCATACAATTATTACAATAAATTATTAATTAATTAATTAATTAATTAATTTTACTCTTATTTATTGATTAAACACTTGTGTTATATAATGTATTGTATATATATATCAATATTTTTTTAAACTTTTACTTTATAATAAAAATTTGTTTGTAATAATAATAATAATAATTTTAGTACTAAAACACTTGTTTGAAACAAAACAAAACTAAAAATAAAATTATATGAAACAACTTCAAGGATATTATTTAATTACAGTATTACTAATACAGTACTGAAAAAAAATTATTATTATATTATTAATAATTATTATTATTTACAAACTAATAACTTAAGTTATCTCAACAACTAAAAAAAGATAATCACCAAGGTTGCCTATTTATTACAATATTATTATTATTATTGCTACTAAAACATGTACATTGATTTACGGCCATATTATATGTAATTTTATTTATAATTACTTATATATGTAGTCTATTATGATATCTAATAGTTAATAAATTATTTTTTAAATATATATATAAAATATAAAATATATATATATATCTATTACAACAACAACAACAGCAAATAGTAGTAATAAATTATTAAATATATTTATTGTTTATTTTTTTTTAAATAAAATCATTAAAAATTTATATAAAATAACATAAATTTTCAACAACAACAAAAAACTATACGACATTTAATAATAATAATATTTATAACTATAATATAATAATAATAATAATAATATGACAAATAAGTTATTGAAAAATAATAAAATCTGTGTAGTTTGTGGTGATAATGCAAAAAGTTTGTAAATATATATATATATATATATATTATAAATACTGTATATAAATACTATATATTCAGTATATGTATATATGTATATATATATGTATTGATTTATTATACATTAGTTACTTAATTAAGTTTTATCAATAAATATAGTAATACATGTATTATAAATGTATTATAATTATAAAAATCTATTATAAAATTCAATGAAACTAATTACTAAACATTTTTATTATTTTGTTTTGTTTGATAATTTATTTATTTAATTGAAAAACACAAAATTGTTATGTCATCGACAACAACATCAAAAAAATATACGACATTTAAATAATAATAATATTTATAACTATAATAATAATAATAATAATAATAATATTTATAACTATAATAATAATAATAATAATAATAATAATAATAATAATAATAATAATAATAATAATAATAAAAATAATAATAATAAAAATATGACAAATAAGTTATTGAAAAATAATAAAATCTGTGTAGTTTGTGGTGATAATGCAAAAAGTTTGTATTTATATATATATATATATATATTGATTTATTATACATTAGTTACTTAATTAAGTTTTATCAATAAATATAGTAATACATGTATTATAAATGTATTATAATTATAAAAATCTATTATAAAATTCAATGAAACTAATTACTAAACATTTTTATTATTTTGTTTTGTTTTATATAAATAATTTTTATTTAGTTATTAATCATTTTATATTTATTTATTTATTTTTTTTAATTAATAAATAGGTTATAATTTTGATGCCCTAACATGTGAATCGTGTAAATTATTTTTTCGGCGCAATGTTTTGAAAAAAGTTTGTAAAAATATTTTGTTTTTTTAAATAATAATAAAAATTATATAATAATATATTTTTTATTTAACAGATTAATTATATATGTAAATCTGATAATACAAATAATAATTTACAAATAACTGTTTGATAACAATTGATACGAGAATTAAATGCAAAAAATGTCGTTTAGCTAAATGTTTTGCAATGGGAATGAAAAGTGTATGTAATTTATATGTATTAAACAAAACTACAAAAAAAAAAGTTTTTTTTGTTTAAATTTAATTTCTAATTATAATTATTTTTACTCGAAAACTATTTTTTGTTAATTTTCAAAAAAAAATATTAATTTTAGTCCTTATTATATACTGAAGAGAAAAAACAATTAAGAAATTCATTGATTATTGAAAATAAAAACAAATTCAAGAAACAACTGAAAAGATCGACGACAACAACGACAACAACAACTGATAATAAACGGATCAGACATTTGGTGACAACTATTGATAACAACAATAACAACAACACTAGCTATTCATTAACGACCAAAACATCTACTGGAACTGACAGTTCAGAAACTACCAGTTCATCAAACAATGGATCCAAAGAATCGACAACTGTTACCGATTTCACGACAACTACTCCCGAGATATTAGTGTCGGTATTATATGAGCCGTCTATAGGCCGGCCAATTACCGCCGCCGCCGCCGGTGCCGACAATGACATACAGTTTAATCAATTAGAGGCCAACTATTTTGGCGAACTGTGCGCCGCTGTCGGCAAACAACTGATGCCGTATTCATCGGCGGTAAATGTTGGCCACTGCGGCGGCGACCAACCAATCAGTGTTGTCGACGTCGACAATAAATGGGACGGTATTTGGATATTAGACCAAAGATTAGACAAAAAAATACCCGGATTTGTAAAAATGTCTAAATGTTTGCACGCGTTTCGCGCGCTCACCGATAATCAGATCAACTGATTTTGTTGACAAAGTCATCGCTAAAGATGGAGATCTTGCAGATGATCAACATATTTGACTTTCAGGGCATGTATTGGTTGATTAGTTTTGTATGTAAACTACTAATTAATTAACTGATTAATTAAATAATTATTTTTTCTTAAAAAAATAATATATTTTTAGAAAACTAATATATTTAAAAAAAATAAAATATATATTTTTAAAAAATAAATAATATATTTTTAAAAAATAAATAATATATTTCTAAAAAACTAATATATTTTTTTTTAAAAAAAACTAATAAACAATTTTTTTGTTAATATACAGAATAATCAAAAAGTTAGAATAGGTTTAGATTTATTTCGTGAATTTCCGATAACAACAAAAACAACGACAACCAAACCGCTAATATATAATAGTATTTATGATAATTATAAGGTATTTATGTATAATATTGGCTTAGACTGGGAATCAGATCCAGTAATCATTAATTTGGTATTTATTTATATTTATTTATAATTAACTATATTTATATATAATATTGTTTTATTAATCATATATATATATATATATTTAAAAATAATCAATAATGATATTAGATTTTTGTTGTTGATTTAATCTAATTATTTTAATATATTAATACTAATACAAGGTATATAATTTTTAATTATTATTTAATTAGCAAAATAAAAACTATTTAACATAACTATTAATAAAACTAATAAATATTTAGAAATGTATATAATAATAAAAAATTATTTTAATAAAAATATAAGACAATTTGTCAAAAACAAATAATTTTGTTTTTATTAATTTATAGTATAAAGTATAACACATACACATATACACACATATGCACACATGTTTTACATAATTTTAAATGTTTAAATGTAAATTATAAGTGTTTTGTCTATTTATATATATAGTCTATTTGTATATATATATATATATATATATATATATACTGTTGTATTGTTGTATAAGTGGTGAGCACTGGTAGTA